AACTTCGTACGACAGTTAACACTTACTTTTCCAATCGATCAGACCAGTCGGCATGCTGACTACAGAAAGCTAGGAAGACATTCTATGCGGCAAATACACATGCATCGTTTTTGAGACTTACCCAAACTCGTGGGGCATTCTTTCGATGGGGAAATAGTTTGAGTGACACACATGTCATACCGCATCTTACTTCGCCAATACCTGCAACTCTAGGACCGGCCTTAACTTGTTACAAACAGTAACATTAATAACATCAACGGTAAGGTTCCGACAATGAGATATCACTGGCACACCCATATTTGTCATGTCCCATAAAACTAAAGGATGAAAAACCGGAGCAAGCGCGCCCGGGAGAAGAAATTTACAATTGGTTAATGAATCCGGTCACGATAACCAAGCACGTGTGCCGATGAAGCGAGAAGCCGAGGACGAGAGTACCTAATTAAGTGTAAAGCTAAGAGTCGAAGCGCCAGGACATGTTATGAGAGAAAAACCATTTAAAGATTTGAAAACAGATAAGCCGGAAAAGTTTAGTATTAAGCTTATATGACGAAAGTCATAGTGTTTACAGAATCAGTATATGGTGTCGGTCAGAGGGTGACCAAGACGCAAGAAGAATTACTACCCGTGACTCGGTCCGACCTAAAATACCAGTCACCGTTGAATAATGCAGTTCAATTAAGTGGACTAGCGATAACCGGCGAGTAGAAAGCCATTATAGAAAAGTAAATGAGGAAAAAAATGCAGATCTCTAAAAGTCTTTATAACAGTAGGGTACAAATCGTTCATGCTGACGACAGCTGATGACGCTAGGCATTGAAATAAGCTAAAAGGCAGTTATATCACAATAGGCCCCTTTGTAAGGGGACCGTCGAGCCTTTCATCGGCTTCCTGTTCTTTGACGGTCTCCGGCTTCGGATATTCAACAACAATGTTCGATCCCGGATTGACCAAAACTGGTTCATCAAATGAGAAAGAGGGAAATTGAGTCATATCAACTCCTTTAGCGTGGAAAATATTGTCTAGCTTATCCATGGTATCCTTCAGATTTTTAATCTGTTTTTCATTCGCATCAACTAGGCCTAGATTGGCAGTTCTGCCTTAAATGCTGTTATGAATAAATATTTACTTTGCTTTTTGTTGATATTCACGAAGTTTCTCAACGAACGCCTTTTGCACAGGGTCAGCAGCATTTAGTGTAGCAA